AAGACCAGATGTTTGAATGTACACAACACAAAGTAATGATCAATGTCAGAGATGGTAGATACGTTTACTGCCCTGATTTGATCTTTACACATCTTACACATGCTTTGAAAAAGATGTACAACTATCACATGCAGAGTGTAATTACAATAAGAAATTATTTTGAAAAATATGAATATTACTCAATTGATTATTATGATTATTTTTAGAGAGAGTTGTTTTGCTGTCGGGTGCATGCAATCACCAGAGAGACAGAAGGATAGAAAGTGAGAAATCACCCTCTGGTGGGGATGGCCATATTGCAACCCCTTCTCCTCCGTCCTCCTCAGGATTGTGGGCACGCATGCACGCACACACACACAGCATGAGTTTAAAGCCACTGGATCCGGGACTGGAACCATAGTAGACTACAAAGGACACCAGCAATGTACATTACACCATTTGCTGGTCCCAGTGAGTTATTAAAGTATTTCTTTTTTTCATATTTACTTTTATTATTATTATTATTATTTACATTTTCCCCCACATTTTATTGATTCACAAAGTACCTTAAACTAAAACTGTGGACAAAGCTAGAATCCAGTTACAAAATGCACTGTAATTTTCTTCTGAGATATTTTAAATTAATTAATTTGCATTCATTTAAAAGGAAACAGGAAACAGGTTAGGATTCTGTTCAAATAGGTACATGAACCTAGCAGCTCAAGACAGGACAAAAATCCTTAAAACTGGAAAACAAAGCCTAGAAGAAAATCAGAAATGTTTTAGTCAAAAGTCATAAAATGCTGTTTCACCAGTTCGGTCTCATGTAATCTATCTTCTGTTGTGGTCCAGTCTTCCTGTGTAAATTCTGGGGTATAATATTCAACTCCAGACATGTCTCTATGATTAAGTTGGCCATTTTCTTAGTTTTTGAACTCTTATTTCGGTGTGTCTGTATTTAATTTTCCTTGTATAGCACTCCTTTGAGAATTTCTTGGAGATCTGGTCTAGTGTTGGTAAATTCTTTCGGGTTTTGTTTATCTGAGAATATTCTTGTCTTTTCTTCTTTGAAGGATAACCTTGCTGGGTACAGTATTCTTGGTTGAAATTGGTTTTCCCTTTTAAACTGTGAAAACCAAAACCAAGCATGCTAAAAACATTCATTAACAAAACAAAACAAACAAACAAAAAAAACCTTAAACTGTGAAAACCAAAACCAAGCATGCTAAAAACATTCATTAACAAAACAAAACAAACAAACAAAAAAAACCAATGCTGAAACATTCATTAAAAAAACAAAACAAACAAACAAAAAAACCAGTGGAATAATACCTTACCAATTATTATAATTATATGAATAACTAGAATTATTAGAGTTATTGTTTAATATTTGGAGTCAGAAATACTCTATTTGATATTTTAAAATTCAAATGAGTAAAAATATTGGGGGTTTGAATCAACAAGTAATTAGGAATTAGCTACATTCATTAAAAAAACAAAACAAACAAACAAAAAAACCAGTGGAATAATACCTTACCAATTATTATAATTATATGAATAACTAGAATTATTAGAGTTATTGTTTAATATTTGGAGTCAGAAATACTCTATTTGATATTTTAAAATTCAAATGAGTAAAAATATTGGGGGTTTGAATCAACAAGTAATTAGGAATTAGCTACTGGGTTATCAGGAAAGTCATGATGCATTTTTGCATAGGAAAACAAAAATTTGTCATAGCTTTTCTGATAACCTAATATTATATTTATATTGAGACAGATTTTTAAAATTGCTTTCCAGGGTATTTAAAACTATTTGAATTGTTATATACTTCAAACCGTCAAAGACTAAAATTTCAGCCTTTCCAAATATCAAAGGTCTTGACATAGTCTTAAGAAAAACTGCCCCGCGGTAAACTCTGTGAACTACAACATAAGCATAGTGACACAATCTACTTTACATTTAGATCACAGTTTCCAGTTGCGAAATGTACAGCAATTTTTCATTTGTCACCACAGGGCAGGAGGGCATTACTGTAATACTTTCATTTTAGTAAAATACCCTGAGGCCAAAAATAATGTGCTCAGGGTAACATAGTGGCTTGTGGCACTGGGTTAGATGCCCATGTTGTTAAGTAATGCATTTTAATGCAGGGCTCTCTCGGAAGTAAGTGCATCTGGGCTGGGAATGTCATCTACTAGGAAATACTCAGATGGAAGGTGCAGCTAAAGGGTAAACTGTTTTATTCCAACAGGTATTCAATGGCCTTAGAAGTAACTCACCCCAGCTGGAAAAACTGTGTAGTAGTGAGAATGTAAATGATGAGATAGCATCTTCTGGGAACACAATGAGAGTTGTTTTTTTCACTGATGGATCCAGGCCATATGGAGGCTTTCTTGCTTCCTACACATCCAGCGAAGATGCAGGTAATGTAGGATCCTGGCAGCATCCCTCACTTCAGCCCACAGCTATCGCCAACAACAGCTGCTGACCCGCCTCTGCTTTCCCTTTAGTACCTAGGATCGAAGCTTCTTCTGGGATCTTTGACATAACAACAAACATATAAGCAGATAGAAAGCTACTCCAGACAGGGGAACCAGCAGTTAGCGTAATGGAGATAGAAACCTACTCCAGACAGAAAACACTTTCTGACCTCAGAAAGCAAACCACTATTGTAAATTTTAAACTTAAAAAAAATAATAGTGTTAGATGAGCTTCTAGCAGAATGCCATGCAATGTTGCCATTAGGATTGATTGCCAGTTCCGTGTCCTTGTCCATTCTTTTGTGTTGAAAGAGACCGTCTATCTCTTAGATGGTAACTTAGTTTAGACAGTCATTTATTTCACTTGGACAGAAAATAGTCGATTGTTTCTTAGTCATCCATCCATATATTTATTTGCAATTAAAACAAATGGGGGAGTTTGTATTTGGTACAGAATATTTCAAAATTAAACAAGATGTGGCCTCTAATCATAAATGTCCCCCATTTTCTAGAGTGATGCTGTCACCTAAGGATGTTTAAGTTTCGGAGTGGGAATGAAGAAAATTTTATAAGCACTCTCAGTTATTTAATTGGTATAAGAAGCATTCATTTCCTGATTCAAAAGGGCAAAATCATTGACACTCCAGTGTTGTAATACCTATTTGATGCAATTAAATTTTTGAAACAAGTAGAGAATTATCTATCAAAGCCATTGGGACCTATCACCAATAATATTTGGAGATTCTTCTAAATTTTTTTTTTTTTGAGAGGCTGTTTGCTGTAGGGCACGTGTGCTTGCCAGGAAGACAGAGAGAGACAGAGAGACAGAAAGCAAGAAATCACTTCCCAGGGGGATGGCCACGCCACAATCCCTTCTCCTCCATTCTCCTCTAGGGATTTTGGGACATGCATGCACATGCGCTGGCGTGAGTTTAAGCCACTGGGTTCGGGACCCAAACTGTGGTCAACTACATGGGATTCCAGCGACATAGCCATTATGCCAACTGCTGCTCCCAAGATTCTTCTGAATTAAATATTAATGAATAATATGAATGAATGATACTCTCAAATTTGGCCCAAATTTGGAAGAATTTATGCACAGCCAAACCCCAGTCACTTGATCTATACCAGTAAAGAAATATAAAAAACATTATTTTTGTACATCTGTCCTTAATAAACTCATGGAAACTTCTTCCATAATTTGCAGGCAGGAGCTAGGCTTTTACCCACAACCTTGACTACAGACAGAGAGAGACAGAGAGACAGAAAGCAAGAAATCACTTCCCAGGGGGATGGCCACGCCACAATCCCTTCTCCTCCATTCTCCTCTAGGGATTTTGGGACATGCATGCACATGCGCTGGCGTGAGTTTAAGCCACTGGGTTCGGGACCCAAACTGTGGTCAACTACATGGGATTCCAGCGACATAGCCATTATGCCAACTGCTGCTCCCAAGATTCTTCTGAATTAAATATTAATGAATAATATGAATGAATGATACTCTCAAATTTGGCCCAAATTTGGAAGAATTTATGCACAGCCAAACCCCAGTCACTTGATCTATACCAGTAAAGAAATATAAAAAACATTATTTTTGTACATCTGTCCTTAATAAACTCATGGAAACTTCTTCCATAATTTGCAGGCAGGAGCTAGGCTTTTACCCACAACCTTGACTACAACTAGGAAAACAAATCAAAGCAGTGATGTTGCTGTTGTTATTACCTGTGTCTTCCATTATGGCCTGAATCTTACTACTACTTTCTCCATTGCGTTTCATTTTTTTAGAGTGTGGTGGGTTTCTTCCAAATGACTCTGAAGGAAACTTTACTTCTCCTGGTTTTGATGGAGTCAGTAATTACTCACAAAACCTAAACTGTGAATGGACTCTCAGCAACCCAAAGGAAGGAAATTCATCCATTTACATTCACTTTGAGGATTTTTACCTAGAAAGTCACCAAGACTGTCAATTTGATGTCCTTGAGTTTCGAGTCGGTGAGTTTAGTTTACGCTTTCTCTTATTTACCTGTACTATCCTTCTTATGCCTGGAGATCACTGACAGTGAAGGGACTTAAACAGCTATAACGGAGCTACGGAAGATCCAGAAGAACTTGGCTCAAACAACGCTGTGATTCTGTATGTGGCAGCTGAGGAAGATGTGCCTGTGCACCGCAGTGAGGAGGGGATCCGTGTTGACACCCTGACACACGAGACTTACCCAAGAAAGATTCTGGGTGGTTTCTGCTCTCTGCTTGAGTTAGGGTTTTCCTGTCAACGCTCACTACTCAAGACTCTTTTCTTAAGAAACAGGAATTTAGCATAGTCAGAATGTGTTTTCAGTTTCCTGAAGACAGGATTTAGGAAGAGGCTGTGAAATTATACTCAGGCCTTAGAAGTTCAGAACAAGGCTTGCAGTGTATCAGATGCAGACGCACATGGAGGTTATTCGGGGGAATTATCCTAAAAGCGGTCAAGTTTGTTTTCATGATAGAAAAGGATTGAGTTGTACTTGATAAACCACAAGATTTTTAGAAACCCTATATTCATAGAAAATTAATCAATAGTCAAGGCCTAGGCTACCCACTAGATTGCTCCTACTATTCGCTTTACACTCTTTTCTTGGTAAATAAATAAGTAGAAAATAATACTGTAGACAATGAAAAGTTTGCTAAGGTCCATGTTATCCAAAATTCTAGAGACTAAAAGCAGGAGAAAACTAGTTGGTGAAGATGTTCTTGGGCAGCAATGGGAATCAATGCTGTTTGCTACCTTTGAGAGCATGGGAGACAGAATTTGGGTAAAATTTCTAGTCATAGAACCAGGGCCTCACCAAGTGAATCATCCTGGCTCTCTGAGGTTAGTAAGTCTAGAAAAGGCTTATGAGGAAATGAAAGTTGTAGTTTGAGAGTATCCTCATGCAATTCTGATGAGCCCTAACAGCTTCGACCTAAGCCAGAACTTGCTTACAGACTCAAGTACAACAAATCTGTCTGTCAGATTTCACCAGTTCAACACAATCTTTCCTTTGCTCTCTCAGATTTAGAGACAGTTAAAATACTCCATTTTGTTGATTTATAAGGTCAGTGATGTTCATCTGGCAGAATAAACAGAGCAGATAAATGTGAGCTATATAGGTGCTCTATAATTGTTAATCAAGTTTCTGTGAAAAGATTACTAACTTTATAAAAATATTTAGCTCAGACAGCTCTAGGCCCGAGTATTGAATGTTCTGTTTATTAGGTTGTCGGGAGAGTCATGATATATTTTTCTGTTTTTCTATGCAAAAATGCATCATGACTTTCCCAACAACCCAATATCCTAGTTGATTAAATGCAGTCATAAAATCTTTAAAACTTTAGGCAGTTGTTACTTTCATCTTCAGGGTATATTTTACCCCATTGGTATTATATGAGGGGACTTCAAATAATTCATGGAAAATGGAATTAAAGTATGAGTTAAGTTCTGTGCAAGAATTTGAAATCTATGCATAGTTTTTTAAATTAATTTTTCCATAGGTTTTTAAAGCCCTCTGTATTTCTTAGTTCTTAAAAAGGCATGTCTAAGCATCAGCAGGTGGCATAGTAGGTAAGGCACTGGACTTCCATGTGGCCAACCACAGTTTGAGTCCCAGACGTGACAGCTTCAAACTCACATTGGGCACATGTGCGTGCATCCCCCAAATCCCAAGAGGAGAATGGAAAACGGATTGATTGTGGCCTTTTTTCCGAGGGATGAATTCTTGCTTTCTGGCTCCCTGTCTCTCTCTCTCTCCTCGGCAAGCACACATGCCCTATAGCAAAAATTTCTCAAAAAAAAAAAAAAAAGCGCGTCTAAACTTTTTAAAATTATTAATTAGTTTTATCTCTGTTTAAATATAATAAATATTTATGAAAACACAAATTGGAACAAAATAGCACTTACAGTAAAGAGAGGTCCACACCAAAGTGGCATTTTAAAATTGAGATAAAATTCACACATCAAATTCCCCATTTTATTTAACCATTGTAAATAGAAAAGTGGCTTTGAGTACATTCAAAATATGGTTCAGCCATTATCACTGTGTAATTCCAGAACATTTTCATCACTCTAAAAAGGAACCCCTTCAAAAGCTCTTCTTTCCCCCGCTTCCCAGACACCCATGCCTCTAGTAATCGCTATTTCACTCTCTCCTAATATGCAGCCAATTTTTTACCTACCACGTATGAGGGAGAGCCTGCAGTATTTGTCTTTCTGTGCCTGCTCATTTCACTTCATGTAGTTTCCTTCAGACTTGCCCATCTTGCCTTGAATTACAGAATTCCATTCCTTTTAATGGTGGAATAATATACATGTATCACATTTTCTTTATTCATTTATCTGTTGATGGACATTTGAGTTGATTCCATATTGCTGCTATTGACAATAGGGATGCAGTAAACAATGGAGTACAGAAATCTTTGACATACTGGTTTTCTTTCCTTTGGATATATACATACTAGTATGATTAGCGGATCATAAAGTAGTTCTTTTTTTTTTGGAGAGGTTTTTGCCATAGGGCACGTGGGCTCTCCAGAGAGAGAGAGACAGAGAGACAGAAAGTGAGAAATCACCTCCCAGGGGGGATGACCACACCGGAATCCCTTCTCCTCCATTCTCCTCTTGGGATCTCGGGCACACACACACACACACACTCACACACACACACACTCACACACATGCCCGGCGTGAGTTTAAGTCTCCGGGTTCAGGACTCGAACCGTGGTCAATTACATGGGAGTCCAGTGACGTAGCCATTAAGCTAACTGCTGGTTCCAAAGTAGTCCTATTTTTAACTGTTTGAGGACCACCATATGGTTTTCCATAATGGCTATATTAATTTATATTGCCATTGATATGTGTAAGAGTCCCCCTCTTCTCTGCATCCTTATTATAGCATGTTTTGCTTTCATTTTTGTTCCATCCTGTTGGGGAAACTTTATTTTGTATTTGACAGAAACTGTGTCATATCTGCCACTAATACTTTAATTCTGGGACAGAATTTAAATGTGTGTCAGTGAATACCTTGAAATATTTATTCTTATTTGTTCCTACTGAATTCATTGAATATATTTCTCAAAAGCTATATAAATAATGGCACTTGGTGTATTATTTTGTCCAGGTGATGCCGATGGGCCCCTAATAGGGAGATTTTGTGGCCCTTCAAAACCTACAGTGCCGTTGGTTATTCCTTATTCTCAGGTATGGATACATTTTGTTACCAATGAACGTGTAGAACATTTGGGATTCCGTGCAGAGTATTTCTTCACAGGTAAGACGTAGGATTAATATCTCAAACTCTAGCAATAAAATAATAGGTAAAACTTTGTGATTGTTTCCATAAGTCCCCACTTAATGTATATCAAGTGTCTGCACTCTATGACTGAAACTGATTGACTAAAGGATATAGAAACACAGTAAATGGTTGTAAATACCAAATATAGTGTGGGTGAAAGAGTAGAGTCTGTGGAAGGACTTTTAGAAGAAAAATAGAGAGGCAAAGCATTAATGGAACAAAGAAATGTGGTATTATCTGTTGAAGATAATTTTATAGTATTATCAACTGGACTAGAGAGAAATGTACACATGTTCACTTTGTAAGCTAAATAATGTGATTGAATATATAAAAGAACATGACATAAAAATAAATAAATAAATAAATATAAGATCCCACATATATTTTGATAGATTTATTTCTAGGTAGCTATTACCCTTGATGCTGAAGTCAATGAGATTTTCTAAATAACATTTTTAATTGTTTGTTGCTGATATCTAACAATTTTATGCATTTATATTTAGTCCAGAAAATTTGTTATACTTTTCCTAACTTTAATATTTTGTCTATAAATTCACTTTGGTGTTTCTATATGAACAATCGTGTTTTGCAAATGACAATTCTGTTTTTCTTTCAGGTCCAATACTTCATTTTTTTTTTCTTGCCTTGTTTCACTAGCTAAAGTTGCTATTATGCTAATGAACTGATGGGCTAATAACATCTTGTTTCTGGTTTTAATCCGAATTTCTTACATTTCATGTTAAACATGCTGACTGCTCTTAGGTTTCCAAATACATTTTATCAAATTAAAAAGTCCCTTCAATTTTTAGTGTACAAAAAATGATTTTAATGCAAATGGGTATTAGATTTTATCAAATGCTTTTTCTGTGTATATTCAGATTATCCTTCCCCCACTTCACATATTAATGTGATCAATTATATTGAATCATTATTTTTTCTTGTTTGTTAAACTAACCCTAGTTGGTCTTGATGTATATTATACATATACATATTTCTGAAGATTATTTGCTAATGTTTTGTATTGGATTTGCATCTGTGACATTCACAGTTTGAACCTGAAAATTCAGCCCACCATGTCAGCACTACTCCTTGCGATTTCCTTGGGCCACTAGTGTTTTTCTAGTCCTTTTACTAATTAACATAGCAGTCCTCTCAGACTCCCAACTTTATGTAAAAGTCTCGATTTCAGTCCTTCCTTTTTGAAAGCTATGTCTTCTCTTCCTATTTATTGTCACCAAAAGCTTAGGCTCCAACCCTGGAGCTCTCATCTTAGTTCTTTATCCTCTCAAACTGCTACACATTCAGTTTGAGATGACCGAGATTGATTGTTATCCACTCACTCAACCATCTTGTCATTTGTTTTTTATTGATCAGATTGAAAGAAAAGTCAGGTTTTTAAGAAACACCATTATTTGAGTTGGATATCACACTATACTTTGCTTTATAAATGTACCAGTTTTTCAACTTGCTATGCTAATATATAATTAGATAGTTAACTATGTATTAATTAATTAATTAGTTACTATTATCTAGAATTCTGTTTATTTCTAGTCATCCACCCAATCTTACGTTTCAGGAATTCATTTACTTTTTTCATTTATTGTATTTTTTTATCAAAAAGTATAGTAGCTATTGGTACTGCTTTGGTTTTGTTGGGTTTCGTTGTTTTGTATTTTGTTTTATCAAATTTACAAATCTAATTTCAGATTGTGGTGGAATACAAGTAGGTGAGAGTGGAGTGATCACAAGCCCCAACTACCCAGCCTCTTACGACAGCCTGACCCACTGTTCTTGGTTGTTGGAAGCCCCTGAAGGGCACACCATCACTGTGAGTTCTAAGGATGGGATAAAATGCTTTGAAATGATTTCATGCAAATGAAGAGGGTTTTTTTGTAAGCAAGTGATTAGCGTAGGCTTTTATCCTACAGTTAGATCAATGTTTCTCTCTGAAATTCTGTTAGAATACATACATTGATATCTGGAAATTTATAGTTAATGAAGAATAAAATTCCTTTCTCAGGCATAGGAAAAACTACACATAGAAAATGATTCTACATCTAAGAGAGAGATATATTCTATTCATCTTCTTCTTTTTATTGGGGGGGGGGAGGTTTTTACTATAGGGCATGTGCACTCACCAGAAAGAGAGAGAGAGACAGAGATAGAAAGTGAGAAATCACTCCCCAGGGAGTATGGCCACACTGCAATCCCTTCTCCTCCATTCTCCTCTCAGGATCTTGGGCACGCACACACACATGCGTAGCATGAATTTAAGCCATTGGGTCCGGGACTCAAACCACGGTCAACTACATGGGAGTCTAGCAACATAGCCATTACGCCAACTGCTGGACCCTATTCATCTTCTTGATATGAGTTGCCATTCTAGCCCAAGGGACTGGTGGGGTCTCCATAATGTTTTCACATCCTGGAAAAATAGTCCGTAGACCTTTCAATAAGGAACAAACAAACAAACAAAAGCAGAGGAAGGGGAGAATTAAATAATCTGAAAATTTGAATCACATGGTACCAAAAAAAAACAAAAAAAGGAATGATTTCACACATTAAAAAAATATATAGTTGGGACCAGCAGTTAACATAATGGCTGTCGCTGCACTCTCATGTAGTCGACCGCGGTTCACATCCCGGACTCGGTGGCTTAAAAACTCATGCCTGGCACATGTGCGTGTGTACCCAAGATCTCGAGAGGAGAATGGAGGAGAAGGGAGTGCGGCGTGGCCATCCCCCCTGGGGGGTGATTTCTCGCTTTCTATCTCTCTGTCTCTGTCTGTCTGGTGAGCACATGTGCCTTATGGCAAAAACCTCTCCAAATATATAATATATATGAAATGACTTCATACATTAGAAAATATATAGGTAGAAATATGCAATTGTGTCACTGAAGGCAGAATAAAAGGACCTGTAACCATGATGTAGATAAGGCCACAACTTGGTGTACTCATGATTTCTTTTTTCTCCTGCAGCTTACATTTACTGACTTTGATATCGAAAGCCATTCAGCTTGTGCTTGGGATTCCGTCACTATCAGGAATGGTGGCTCCCCTGGATCACCCATAATAGGACAATACTGTGGGAATTCAAACCCCAGGACAATCCAGTCTGGTTCCAACCAGCTGGTAGTGATTTTTAACTCAGACCAGTCAATACAAAATGGTGGATTTTACGCTACATGGAGCACACAAACTTTAGGTAAAAGAAACATTCTCTGTGCTCATTGTCATTTTCAGTAATATCTTTTCTAAACTTGTTAACTAATTTAAAATATGTATGTTTTGTACCAGCTCTGTGTAAGACTTAGTCCCAAATATTCACACATGTCATCTCATGTAGTAACCCTGCAAGGGAGTTATTGGACAAGGTTAACATAGTTTTTCTATATTTCTATTTTTGTTTGTTTTAGGGTTTTGCCATAGGGCACATACACTCATGAGAGAGAGTAAAAGACAATAAGAGGAAAAGAGAAATCACAGCCTAGTGGGGGATGGCCATGCCACAATCCCTCCTCTTCCACTCTCTTCCTGGGATTTTGGACATGTGTGCACAAGACCTGGTGTGATTTTCAAGCTGCCAGGTTGGGAGTTCAAACCACATTGCCCATGTGAGAATCTAGACCCTTAATCACTGTGCCACCTGCTAGCCCCAATTTTCTTTATATCTCATGGATAGAACGGAGGATAAGTGGGTTGATTGTTTGCCCAGGGAAATAACTGACTTGTTAGAGTCATTGTTTGAGTTAGGGCAGTTGAATGAAGAAACTTTGATTTTAGAACTTCATGCTGCTTCCTCCATGTTGTAACCAGGGAATCTCAAGATATAGAATTAAGTGCTGGAATCAAAAGCAGTTTAAATTATTTGAAGCTTAAAGGGAGAATGCTGTATGATAGGCTTAGGGTAGAAAAATAGCCACAGCATGAAGAGCCTTGTTTTATATATTATTTCCTGAACAATGCGTGCTATCGAAGTGTTTTGAAGAGGAAAGTGACAAGATGAGGATTGTTTGATGATTTAGAACAGATGCTATAGTACACAAGCACTGAATCAAAATATCACAGGTTTGATTTTTTAAAAAATTTTAGTTATTTGTTTCTTAATGAGAGGGAGAGAGAGAACACTCCGGGGACCTGATGCTGCAGTCCCAGATTCAGTCAGGCCTAAATCAGGGACACTGGACATGAATGCATCCTGCAGACGCAGGGAGTTCTCTGATCACAAACTTGGAACCCTCCCATTGGTCAGTCTTGTAGAATGTTGGTGTTTTATAATTGCAGGCCCCAGATTGGACACCAGGCATGTGGGCATGTATACCAAAATCCCAGGAGGAGAGCAAATGGAGGAGAATGGATTGCAGCATGGCCATTGCCCCTGGTGGGGGGGTGATTTCTCACTCGCTAGCAAGCACATATATCCTATAGCAAAACAAAACAAAACAAAACAAACAAAATAAAAACAGAGTAACTTTTATGCAAATATAATATAAACCTTGTGAAAATTCTCAGAAAATATAAGGACTTACATTAGATACTTTATTCAGGATTTACTGAATCATACAGGAGAATTGTTTTAGTAGAGCCAGAGTTATTATGATCTTTGTAGTCAAACTTTCCCTTCATTGAACCACTGGCTGCTACTGAAGTCAGAGGGGCGTTTTGGAGGAATGACTAATAGCCAAGAGTTGAAAAGCAAAGGTGGAGCCAGATGGTGATGCTGTGGTTACACAACTGAACCCAAGTGGGAAAGGACCTGGATCCACATCCCAGAGTACCCCCGCACGCCAGATGTGTGCGCATGTGCTGTGATCTGTTAAGTGTGTTTTGCTAAGTTTATATTTTTCTTTGTTGTCCCATAAGTACATATTTTAAGAGTATGAAAATACTACGAGATATTTTTTCTTTCAATCCTATTATTTGTTCCCATTCATGAGTCAGTTTTAATACAAATGAAGTAGATTGCTTAAAGGGACAATTTTCCCCTACTCGAAATCACTTTCTCTAATCCAGTTAGAGTAAAAGGACAAATAAGTATAGAGTTGTATTCCCATGTGTTAGTAGTAATAAAATAGAGAACTTGACGTTACTAGGCTACACATTCTACCTAGCCTAAAGGGGATAAAAATTATCGCTATTGTTTTCAGACAAGATAGAAGTGTATCTACTTTGCATCAGGGAGTGGTGGTCTCAGTTGCAGTCAGTAAACGTGTAAGAAAACAGTCACAGCTGAAGTTCCTCTCCCTTTTTGAGAGTGCTCACTGTGTTCTGGCCCTCATGCTGAGTCATAGGTAAGGGAAGATGAATTGAAATCTCCCATTGAGAAGTGTCCCCTTTTTTGGCAATGTTGGGATTCCAAAATTGTCACTTTCTTCACAAACTGATGACTCTTCCTTACAATTTTCCAGGTTGTGGTGGAATATTTCATTCAGAAAACGGCACAATCAGATCTCCTCACTGGCCTCAGAATTTTCCTGAAAACAGCAGGTGTTCCTGGACAGTCATCACTCACGAAAGTAAACACTTGGAGATCCGCTTTGACAGCGACTTCCGAATCCCCAGTGGTGAAGGACAGTGTCAGAACAGCTTTGTGAAGGTTAGTGTGCCTGTTTATTTAGTTGGAGCCAAAATAGTTCTATGAACATAAACATTTAGACTAGAAAATAATCATTGCTTTGCAGTATAAGAAAGAACAGTTTTGCTGCTTGGATTTCTTGGATGAAAAACTGAGTAACCTCACTGTTAGGAGTTAGAATTTGAACCACACACACACATATAGCTCTATGATTTTTTTTTAGCTTCTTAATGCTTAGGTAAATTAACTCAATTATTCTCTGGTTTTATTAAATTCTTGTGAGCATGTATGGCTTCCTTTCCGTGGATAATTATTAAAAGATCAAGTTTTATTTATTTTCCTTCTCTTTACCTTTCCTTTCCCCCTTCTCTTCCCTTCCATCCTTTTTCCTTTCCCTTCCCTTCTGTTTCCTCCTGTTTCTTCCATTCTTTTTTGTTGTTGTTGTTTCCTTTCCTCCCTTCTTCCTCTCTCCCTCCTCTTTTCTTTCCTTCCGTTCTTCTTTTCTAATAGGTATTAATTAACAAATGCCTTCTACAATATCAGGAACTGTCACAGACAAAATTAAAAAATAAAATGGCTAGGCAAATAAATAGGAGCTATAAAGAAAAACTAAATGGCAGTTACAGAACTGAGAACACAACAATGGAAATGAAGAGCTAGCTGGGTAGGGTCCATACTACAGAGGGGATGGCAGAGAGTATAGTCAGTGAACTTGAGGACAGGACAGGAGAACACACTCAATCTGAATAAAAGAAAATAGACTGTAAAAACAAAGCAAAACAAAACAAGACAAAAGCAAAAAAAGCAACATAAACAGAACTCTGGGGACCTGTGGACAGTTACAAAAGACCCAACATTCATATGACTAGAGCTTCAGAAGGAGATGAAAAGGTGCAGATAAAAATGTAATCAAAGAAATAATGACTGTAAACTTTCCCCAATTTGGCGAAAGGTACACACAGATTTGGGAATCTGAATGAATCCCAGGATAAACCCAAAGAAATGCAAGCCAAGACACATGGTAATAAGACTTCTGAACACTAAAGGCAAACAAAAAAATTTGAAAGCAGCCAGAGAGAACTGAGATATCACCCATAGTGTAATACCAATTTGAACGAAAGTGGATTTCTCATCTGAAACCATGGAAGCCACAAGAAAGTGACGCTATATTTTTTCAAATGCTGAAATAAAAAAACTGTCAACCATAACTATTACTATGTACTGTCCTTTAGAAGTAAAAGGGACATTAAACATCATCATATAAAGGAAAATAAAAGAAATAACTGCTAGGAGAACTCCCTGTAAAGATTGCCTGACAAAAATGAAAGCATACAAGAAGTAATCCTGGAGCACCAGGAAGGAAAAGGAACATGGAAAGAACAAAAATAGGAACTAGCAGGTGGCATAAGGTGAAGGTGCTGAACTCCCACGTGTTTGACTGTGGTTTGAATCCTGGAGCTGGTGGCTTGAAACTCACACCAGGCATTTGTGCATGCCCAAAATCCCCAAAGGAGAATGGAGGAGAAGGGATTGCAATCTTTCTATTCCCCCACCACCACCACCCCAGAGGGATTTCTCACTTTCTGTATGTCTCTCCAGCTAGCACACATGCCCTATAGCAAAAATCTCTTTTTAAAAAATGTGCAAAAATAATTTACATGTAAGAGAGCATCCTTTTCCTTATAAATTCAATGATGCCCATTTAATAATTAATAATTAAAGCAAAAGTATTACAATGCCCTCAGTTACTTCAGACTATGATATTGAAAAGTTGGTAAGGTAAAAGGACTTGAGTGGATGTCCAATTTCCACTCTTAACTCAAAGTAGCCAAATGTTGATGCCAATACACTCTTATAATCCCATATGTAACACCCAGAACAGCCACTGTCAAAATAGTATGGAGAGATATTCACCAAAAAACTATGCAATAATTAATTATTCCATTTATATAATTATTTGAAATGACAATATATTAGGGGATGTTTTTTAGAGAGAGATTTTTGCCATAGGGCACATATATTCTCCAGAGAGGCAGAGAGGCAGAAGTGAGAAATCACCCCTTGTGGGGGGGATGGGCACACTACAATCCCTTCTCCATTCTCCTCTCAGGATCTTGGGCACACATGTGCACACACACACGCCCAGCATTAGTTTCAAGCTGCAAGATCCAGGACTCAAACCAGGGTTGACTACTTAGGAATCCAGTGATGTAGCCATCTTCTGGTCCCTCTGAAAATTTTGCTACAGCAAAAATCTCTCTAAAAAATAAAAGAAGAATAGATAAATAGCTAGAAGTTAGAGAGATAGGGTGTGGGAGTAAACTGTGGTTATAAAAGTGCCACTCTAGGGATCTGCACGATATGGAACTATTCCGTGTATTGACTGTGGTTGGACATAAACTTGCTCCAAGTTCACACACACTCACACATACACACACACACAAGCAAAAGTACAGTATTGCATAAAAATAGTGGGCTACCTTGATGCCAATATCATGGTTGTGACATTCTATTCTAGTCTGACAAGACATGAATGTTGAGGGAACTGAAAAATGTGTATGAGGGATTTCTCTGGAATTATATCTTACAGCTGGATATAAATCTGCGATTATCCCAATAAACTTCATTTTGCCTTTTCTGAAATAATTGCCTGAATGATTAAATAAAACCTGAAGCCAGACTGAAATGTACATCACCTTAAGAAAAGTCAGAAAAATTTTGACTTGATGACAATTTAGTAATATTTTAGAGTTTTGATGAGTCCTGGATCATGTAACCAATAAAATGAGGTTTTGACCAACAAGGCAGCAATGAATGCTTAATAACTCTTTGCCATCATCATCGTTGCAATTGTTATTATTATCAAACTTATCTTGTGGGGCTAAAACACAGAGATACATATCCATCATTAACGATTTCAGAGAAGTATAAGCATTTGAGCATTTTTGAAGGTTTTATGTAGGACCCTGAAGTTCTTTGTTAAAAGTTTTAGTTTTCACTCTGCCTGTCTAGTGATGTTTGTAAGAATAGTATCTGAAGATATTTATTTATTAGTAAGTTTTGTTTATAATTTATAAGACATGGATAGAAAACTTCTGTATTATTTCCTACCATAGTTGAATAAAGAGGTAAAATTGGGGTGTGCATCTTTCATGGCATTTGTATTGATTTCCTTAAGTGGTTGTAAGAATATCTGAGTTTCTGTTCTCAGTATCTCCAGTGCCAGACACCTCCCACAATTAATAAATGGCAGATACAATTAGTCTTCAATAAGGTGACTAACACCTGGGTAGTCAGTGTTTGAAAAACCATCAACATGATATGCTTTAAAGAACCGAGAACTATTACTTCAGTGCTATGAGTCAGTGCCACTTCACTCCTCTCCTATGGACTGATATTCCAATTGCAAGGTTTTTAATGGCATGGGGGGTTTATTGTTCTGTTTGGGGGTTATTTTTGAAAGAAGTATATTTGGAATGAGTAATTTCATATAGTTTGATGTGAAGAAGAAAATGTTGAATAGTCGAGTAAGACTAATCCAGACCCAACTATTGTACCTTCCTTCTTTGACCAGACAAGTCTCAGTTGTGTGGACGTGTTGCAAGATGGATAGGGTGAGGGCGATTGTCCTGTGCATTACGGGCTATTTTACAATATCCCCGCTTCCTACCCAGCACCCCCTACTGCAGATGTGGCTTCAGAAATGCCTCCAGACATTGCCAAATGTCCTTAGAGAGGGCAGAATTGCTCCAGGTTGAGAGTCATTGACCTAAGGGAATCACCTGGTTAACGTATTCAGTGGCCTTTGTTCCATTTATGGACTCACCTTCTAATGGGCATGCCTTCATCCTTTCCTTGAGTGATGCCACGTTTTTGAGCCTCACCTAAACCCTGACAAAGCCCTCCTAATCGATTTTCCAGTATCCTCTCTTTTTCTGATTCCCTGCATTATAACTTTTCCATAAAACCAAGCCTCCAGGTGACTTCTTGCTATTTTCAAGACAGTGACCAGAATTTCTAACATACCCTTAGGCCTATGGGCCTTGGCCCCAGGAGCCACCTCTGCAGCCTCCTTCACAGCCTTCTCAATTTTCTCTGTTCTCTGAGCTAGCTGGAACCCTTCCTGCTTCAGGACTTCCTCAGGGCAGTCCTCACCCCCAAATCAGGTAAAACCCAGGGTGTAACTCTCCACACGAACTTCAGCTCCTTGTTTCACCACTGGAGTTTTGCATTTAACTTGGTAATTCTGTGATTAATGTTTCTGTCCTTCCCTCAGCTGTGCAGGATGAATTTGATTTGGACTTTTGATGCTCACAGTTTTATTCTCCAACAACTATTTTTCACACTAGAATATAAATTAATTCTATCAACATGGCCAGACCAATTAAATGACAGCCCGGGTCTAATTGGGAGTTGCCAAGCTGGTCTTCAGTGAATAGCACACAGGGACTGAACTTCATCCATATTTCAAAATGAACGTTAAAATTCAACACTGCCAGGCCCGGCAGGTGGCGTGGTGGTCAGGGACCCTGGACTCCCCATGGCTGACCACGGTTCAAGTCCTAGACCTGGCAACTTGTCTTCTCACTTTCTCTCTCTCATTCTGTCCCTCTCTGGTCAAATTAAAACAAACAAACAAACAAATAAATAAAGGTCAATAAAATAATTCTTTAAAAACAATTCAAAATTGCCAAGAAGTATGTATGATTTATTCCAGTTCATGCTGATACTTGGAAATCATGTCCTCTGTTTTCTGCTCCACAAGGTCGTAGTTTCTGTGGGCCTCTTTCTTGGCAAATGTTCTCTAGCCACAATGCAATTTGCCATCCTCCCAGGACCAGTGGTGAGCACACAGGAGCCCACAGCACTGTCCTGTCTCCCTCAGCACCTCACAAGCTCAGGTCACCCAGAAAGAGGAAACAGAGTGGTGATTGATTTTTTTAAAAATCCATACCCAGCTGCACAAAAATGAACACATTCTCCCTAGAGAAGTCAGAATGGAATATGCTATTAAAAAGCAGCTGCAAAAGAAAATTCTCAAAATAGCATATTGCAGATTTGCATGTACTTTATTTACTATTATGCTTAGTTCTATATACACCTGAGCACCATTATTCTCAAGCACTAAAACATTGACAGGGGAAAATCTTGAGCATTAATTCATGTTTACAACCCTGCTAGGTCTGGGCAGGAACAGAAGAGGTCAACAAAGCCCTCTTAGCCACAGGCTGCGGGAACACCGCCCCTGGATCCATCGTCACTCCAAGAAACGCATTCACTGCTGTCTTCCAGTCTCAAGAGACGCCAGCCCAGGGCTTCTCTGCGTCCTTTGTCAGCCGTAAGTAGCACTAGAAAATAACTCAGGTGCTTGAAAGAATATAAATTAATTCTGTCAACATGGCCAGACCAATGAAATGACAGTCCAGGTCATTTCTTTGGTAGCTGCCATGGACAGGCTTGGGGAGGAAAGACTAGAACTGGCTAGAACTGGGAGTCCTAGGGGAGGAGCAGGGTGTCCAGAAATATGGCAAGCTACCTAGTCTTTCCTTCAAAAATCACAAGAATGTCACTGAATTCAACGATTGGTCAGTTGAGAAATGATATAAAAGGCATGAATGGCACTAGCAAATCTCTAAACATAAGCCTAGAATTCAGAGGGTGTGCAAACTCAGGTACCCAGTAATTAAAAGACAGCAGCACTTTGACTGCCTGCAGCAAAATCACCTAGCGGTTAGTGGAGTGAGGAGGCTGGAAAAGCATGCAGATTATTGGGCCTCACCTCAGACATCTGCATCCAGGATCTCCATGAATGGGGTCATGCCTGCTTTAGCTATCACCTGGAAGATTCTCATGCCCATTAAACTCTGGAAGCCACATTCTCTGAGAGTCTTCCTTTCTCTGAGATACCTTCCTTTAGGTATGTAGATCCACTTCTCTCTGGCTACTAAACACAAATTAAGTTAGTGAGAAATGTAGCAGTTTTCAAGTCTAAGGACCAAGAGTGTGTGCCTTTTGGTTGAGTTAAATCAAGTAGCCACTAATTGTAAACCACCATGTAGGAAAAACTTTGAGGAAGGGAATGACAGAAAATAGCACGGTGAAAGATATTTCAGACATGAATTAAAAAAGAAAAAATGAGGTGGTGGGAGGGAGTAATAGTGAAAGATGAGCTCAGAGCTAATCTTAAATCTTTACTTGGTCTGTTGTGTGTGTATGTGAGCAACTAGTGTGTTTTAATATCAATTTAAAAGGATACAGATATTTTCATACTGGATAGATAAGAGGGATGTGGATTAACTAGTTAGTGGTTATATGAAAGCAAATGTCATTTTGTTTTGTGTAAGAATTTAGTAAACATGGGGATTAGTAAATCCAACTTTAAAAAGACAAAAACAACCAAACAAACAACAAACAAAAAAACCCAAAAAACTATGTCCTCATGGCCAGATTATAGTAATGAAAATAGCATAGTTTTCTAATAATAAGACATTTTAAGGACATTAAGTGTATAAAGTAGTAAGCAGATACAAATTACTTTTTATTAATTTTATTTCTTTACATAAACTTTATCAAATCTTTGCCAATTTTTCCTTTTTTAAAAAGAAGTATTTATTTAATTTTATCTATTAATCTTATTCTTCAATTTGGCCAGAGAGCGAGAGAGAGAAAATAAACCACCAGGTCTAGGACTCTAACTATGGTCCGCCACTTTTGAGTCCACCTTAACCACCATGCCACGTGCTGACTCCAATTTACCCTTTTTTGATATCTTTTTTTTTTTCTTCCTTTCTTTTTTTTTTGGAGAGATTTTCACTGTAGGGCGTGTGCACTTGCCAGACAGACAGAGAGAGACATAGAGACAGAAAGCGAGAAATCACCCCCCAGGGGGGATGGTCACACCGCAATCCCTTCTCCTCCATTCTCCTCTCGGGATCTTGGGCATGCACGCACACGCGCCCGGCGTGAGTTTTAAGCCACCGGGTCCGGGACACGAACCGCGGTCGACTACGTGGGAGTCCAGCGACATAGCCATTACGCTAACTGCTGGTTCCCCTGATATCTTCATATTAGGGGATTTGCCATGATTTGGGGTAAAATTTCTACTTAGCCCCAAAACTGCAGCATGCTCTAAATAATATCTATATATAATTTGTGTGTATGTGTGTTTGTATGTGTGTATAAATGCTCTTCTTTTTCACGTGTACTTATTTTTAAATCAGAGTTGAATTCTTTTAGTTATTGCTTCTCCCATGTAGAATATCTGAGGGAACTACACCTCTAGGGACTTTGTAAGATGCAACTTTCCTTCACTGATACACACGAGCACTAATGATCTGATGGTGCCATTTTGTTCCCACGTAGGGTGTGGAAGTCGTTTCACTAAACCTTCAGGTTACATCATTTCTCCAAACTACCCAAGGAAATATGACAACAACATGAACTGCACCTACATCATAGAGACTGATCCTCTGTCCTTGGTCTTCTTGACTTTTGTGTCTTTCCATTTGGAAGGTGAGTTTATTCTTTTTTTTCCCTAAGTTAACTCATTTTTTAATTGATAAATAAAAATTATGTATTTCTGATGTATATGTTTTGATATATGTATATGTTGTAGAATGACCAAGTCAAGCTAATTAACATCTCCATTAACTTACATACTTCTTTTTAAATTTTTTTTAGAGAGGGATTTTTTTGCTATAGGGCACATGCACTCACCGGAGTCACAGAGAGAAACAGAGAGACAGAAATGGAGAAATTACCCCCCAGGAGGGGAGGCCATGCTGTAATTCCTTCTCCTCCATTCTCTTCTTGGGATCTTGGACACACACACTCACACTCCTGGCATGAGTTATATAAGCCACTGAGCCTGGGACTCAAATGGCAGTTGACTACATGGGAGCCCAGCAACATAACCATTATGCCATCTGCTGGTCTTCACAAAGTTCTTTTTTTTTTTTGGAGAGGTTTTTGCTATAGGGCGCGTGCACTCGCCAGACAGACAGAGCGAGACAGAGAGACAGAAAGCGAGAAATCCCCCCCCAGGGGGGATGGCCACGCCGCAATCCCTTCTCCTCCGTTCTCCTCTCGGGATCTTGGGCACGCACACACACGTGCCCGGCGTGAGTTTTAAGCCACCGGGTCCGGGACGTGGACCGTGGTCTACATGGGAGTCCAACGACATAGCCATTACGCTAACTGCTGGTCCCACAAAGTTCTTTTTAATAATGAGAGAATTTGAAATGTACTTTTCTTAGCAATTTGCAAGTTTACTGTACATTAGCTGTTTTAGTCCATTGTGGTCCTAATAACAGAAATGCCTGAATCTGAGTAATTTATAAAGAATAGAGGTTATTTAGCTCTTAGTTTTGGAGGTCCCAGATTAGGGGCTGCATTTGATGAGAATCTCCCTGCTGGGAGAGTCCTGTGGCAGCCCAGGGCATCACTTGGTGAGGTGAGCAGAATATGTGTCTGTGTTCATTTGTCTCTGCTCTGGTTCCACTTCCTCTTCTTGGAAACCCCCAGTACTCACTCATGGGGTCCTTTCTTACCGTGATAGCCTTATCTAATGCTGACCATCTCCCAAAGGCTCCATGTCCTAATCCCATAATCAGATTAAGTCTCCACCTCACAAACTGTTACAATGACTCACCAAATTTTAACAAATGAATTTCAAAGGGACATATTTGAACCATAGCATTAACTATGGCCACTGCGTTGTACAGTAGATTTCCTGGACTTGCTCTTCCTTACTTTGTAACTTCCTCACTTCCTAATTTTGTAACATCTCCCAAATCTTCCTCCACTCCCTAACCACTGCCATCCTGTAGTACCTACCATACTACGTTTTTCTTCTATAGGTTTGATTTTCTTAGATTCCACATAGAACGAGAACAGTAGTGTTTGTCTTTATATGCTTCACTTATTTCACTTAGCATAATGTACTCCATGTTCACTTCTGTTGTCACAAATGACAGGATTTACATCTTGTAAAGAGTAAATATTACAATATTCCATTGTGTGCATGTACATTTTCATTATCAATTCATCTATTGATGGCCATTTAGATTGATTCTGTGTCTAGGCATTATAATCATGCTGCAATGAACACTGGGCACTTCGACACACTGATTTCATTTCCTTTGGTTAAACAATAGCCAGAAATAGAATTGCTGGGTCATATAGTAGTTCTCTTTTTAATTTTTTGAGGAAATCCTATATTGTGTTTCATAATGTCTGTACTAATATACACTTCCAGCAACAGTGTGCAATATTTCTCTTTTCTCTCCATTTCCACCAACAATTTTGCTATTGCTTGTCTTTTTTTTTATAATATTGGATTATCAGAAAAGCCATGACATTTTTTTTATGCAAAAATGTATCATGACTTTTCTGAGAACTGAATAACTATGAAAGGTAAGTTTAGTCTTAAGTAACAATTGATTCTTAAAAAATGACTGAAGGGTAAATAGAGGCAGAGATGTCTAAAATCACCATTTGAAGAAAATATTAGAAATGTGCTACAGAGGAACCAACTGATGGCATGGGGTTAAGGTGGCTGGATCTCACATGACCAACTGCACAGCGTGAATCCTGCACCTGGCAGCTTGAAAAACACACCAGGTGCACGTGTCTATGTACCTGACATCCCAAGGGGAAAGTGGAGAAGGGATTATCATAAGGCCATCCCTCCTGGGGAGGTGCTTTTTCATTTTCCCTATCTCTCTGTCTCTCTCCAATGAACACACCCTATCTCAAATTTTAAAAGAAACAACAAAAAAGAAATATGCTACAGAGAAGGCCAGGTGGTGGTGCAGCAACAACACAACTGGACCTGTGTGGAGAAGTTCCAGGGTTCAGGTCCTGGGACTTCCCTGAGCATGCCAGGCATACATACTGTGTGCCATAGTCTAGGCTGGTTGACACTGGAGGTAGATTGAAGTGTGAGTACTCTGCAAGGAGTGCCTATTCTCTCTCTCTGATGGAAGAAATCATCTTAAAAAAATATGTTTCAGATTACATTTAATATTAACATGATTTAAATTTTACCCAATTTTTAAAGAGCACTATTCTATGTATTCCATGTAGAAGTGAAAGAATAGTTCAAGAACTTTAAGGACATAAACATATAAATTGCTTAAAGAAAATAAGTACAAAATGTGTTACATGTTAACATAGCTTTTCATTTATTCGTTTGCTTTTTTTTTTTTTTTGGAGAGGTTTTTGCTATAGGGCGCTTGTGCTCGCCAGACAGACAGAGAGAGACAGAGAGGCAGAAAGCGAGAAATCACCCCTGGGGGGGATGGTCACGCCGCAATCCCTTCTCCTCCATTCTCCTCTCGGGATCTTAGGCACGCACGCACATGCGCCTGGCGTGAGTTTTAAGCCACTGGGTCTGGGACGTGAACTGCAGTCAACTATGTGGGAGTCCAGCGACATAGCCATTATGCTAACTGCTGGTACCCATGTTTGCTTTTTTAAAAGAATTATTTTAGTTAACTTTATTTATTTTATTTTATCAGAAAGGGACAGGGTGAGAAAGAGAGATAGAGAGAGAGAGAGAGGGAGAAAGCAAGCTGTCAGGTCCAGGACTTGAATTGCCATCAACCATGTGGGAGTCCAGTGCCTTTAACTACAACGCCACCTGCTGGCCTCTATTCATTTGCTTTTACACTTTACATACACACACACACACACACACACACACACACACACACATTCACTCATGCCAAAAACTAATCAGAAAAACTGTCATATTGAGTCGGGATAGGTTCTCAATAAATATTGAATGAGTCAGTGAATTAATAAATTTAATATCTGTGCTCTATTTTTATGAAATACTACATTGGGATACCCATTTATTCTCTTTGCCTTGGTCATTTTTATTTTCCCGGTCCTGATTCCTCAATGCTGAAATTCCTAACCGCAAGCACCCCTTGGGTTCATCCATTCCCTGATGGTAAGGGGCTATTGGCAAAGGGAACAGTGGGGCTGCTCACGTGGGTGGCTCTGACACAAGTGGTCAATGGGTGTTGTAACACTGTAGAGAGGGACTCCCTTTCCACTGAGAGCTGTTTTCAACCATTTGTAGTCATGGTATGTTTTTTGTTTGTTTGTTTTTGTTTTTGTTTTTGTTTTTACCAAATTTTCTATTTCTAAATTACAGTTAATTTGTCGGTTTTTAAGCTACCTCTCTTTATATATTCTTTGGTTTAGTCTCTCATAGCAATGAAAAGGTACAGTCAGTAAAATTGTTCTATAATAATCAACATCTGAGAAATTTATGGTTTATAAAAATTACACACTAGAGTGATTTCTCGCCTTCTGTCTCTCTCTGTCTTTCTGGCAAGCGCACGTGCCCTATAGCAAAAACTTCTCTGAAGAGAAAGAGAAAATGACCCATTAATACTCACAAATTGACGAGTAACACAAGGCATCTCTCCATTTTTATTCTTCCTTTGACCTCACATCCTTTTCTTGCATCTTTGCAGCTGCAATTTTTGGCACATGTGTTTGCTAGAAAATACCATATGTGTAAATTGATGTATGGTGTGTAAAAATGGAATATGAAGTAAAAAAAATGATCTTTTCAACATCTTTTGGCACAAAAATCACAGTAATATAAAAACATGTTTATGATATTTCAAGTACTAGAGGAGAGTGAAATAGTATACATAAGATGATCCAGTTTTCTATTTAAAATAATGTATGTAAATCTGTAAGGCTATTAAGAGTTGGTTCTTCAAGAGCTAGTAATACTATGTGATGCACTGTAGATAATATTTATTTTCTTCTTTGTACTTTTTGTATTATTTTTATAATTGGAAAAAGTTACTTTAATAAGAGAAAAAAGCATGTGACTTAGATTGTACATTTGTTGTAGAGAGATTTTTGCTGTAGTTCGTGTATGCTCACCAGAGACACAAAGAGAGACCGAGAGAGAGAATTAAGAAACCAACCCTGCAGGGAGAATGGCAACGATACAATCTTTTCTCCTTCGTTCTCTTTTTTGGGATTTTGGGCAGGCACACACACATGCCTGGCATGAGTTCCAAGCCACCAGGTCCAGGACTCAAACTGTGGTCAACCATATGGGAGTTCAGTTCCTTAACCATTACACTGTCTTCTGGCCTATAGCTTGTACACGCTGGCTCCTAGATTGTACATTTGCATGTGCTTCTCTTCCCATTATATTAAATAAACAGAGGCTGTCCCATGCCAATGTCATTCAGACTGAAAAAGAAGACGTTAGAAAATGTATTATGGTGTCATGAATGGCACTGACAATAACATTGGTACGTGTACAGTCAGGTGTCCCTTAACCTCCCAGATTCGTTCTGACACACATTGGTAGGTGATTCCATTGTGTGATCATCATAGAGTACACTTACTCAAACCTAGAGGGTACAGCCGGCTGCGCACCGAGCTGTACGATATAGCCTACTGTAATCCTAGGGGACCACTGTTCACTGACTGAACTGTCTTTACGCAGCAGCACGTTATGCAGCACATGC